TTTCAGAAAATATATTTTTAAGAAACGTAGATAGTATCGTGTTTTGCATTAGAAACAAAAATGGCGACTATAAACTATTAATAATACACGGAACAAAGCAGTAGATTAAGGTTCCTAGTAGGTAGATTATTTTGGTATTATTCGCTTTTTAATGAAGTAGGTACCTAATAAAACTCAAAAGATATCAAGACGTCGATTAAATTTCTTTATCTGCATAATATTGGTATTATATATAACCGAACCGAATTCCGAACCGATACGACCTATATGAAAACCCAAGGCCGGCAACGCACAAATCCTTTGGGTATCCATGGGCAGCACTGATAAGCTATGCTGTAAGATGTCAATTTGAACTCTCGAAGATAGCTCGATCACATTCTCACCCGTCATTGGTCGAAATTATTCTCACAAACAATGACATGGCGGACCCCAATCAAGCTCACTTTGAGACTTCGAATTGACATCTCACAGATTAGCCTAGCTGATCGCTAATCATCAGGCCTATCATCTCTGCTCGTTTAAACTTAATCCAATAAAACATTAACTTGACTAAATTAACTAAAAATGGTGGGTTACTCACGTGAAAATACTTAGTTTCGAACCACAGTGTGATTCACAGTGTAAACCACAATGGACTTCAATAACTAAACTTCACTTTTTCTTCCCCCATAGGTGTTCCATTCACAACCAAGGAGAGCCAGGCAGTGAAGGGCATGCCCTTCACACTAGGATTGATATGCCGTCGCAATGAAGTGGCTCCGGAAGACAGCGAGGCGGTGAAGAGGATGAAAGACGCTGGAGCCATCGTTGTGGCTTCTACTAACCTTCCTGAACTGCTCGTTTGGTATGTTAGACGTTCAGTTTTAACACACTTATTAGGTACTAGTTAGCTTACCGGTCGCCTGGTGAAAACTATAATACTTAAATTATACACCTGAATCTTCCTCAGAAATTACTCTATTTACTAATGACAAAGGTACAAATATCTGTTCGAACAGATAAATATGAAAAGGGACTTTGGAAATACCTATGTCTGATCTGTTAACATTTCTTTAGAGCAAAAGCATTAACCAAATCTATTTCTGGAGGACTCCTATAGGAGGAATATTTCCTTGGTAAAAAACAGTTGCCATTTCATTTTCTTGACAGGCAAGAGACCCGCAACCCTGTGTACGGCATGACCAACAACCCTCACCACACTGGCAGGACTCCAGGTGGTTCCAGTGGAGCCGAGGCTGCACTCACTGCTTCATGTGCTACTGTCGTCAGTTTGTGTAAGTTCTACTTCCATCATCAGTCATTCAGTCAGAAGTATGTACAGTACAGTAGCTAAGATCCCCAATTTCGGGAGGCAACTTGACGATGGCAGGTAGGATTGCCGGCGACCACGTGTAAAAAAATGTGCGGTGCAATTAAACGATTATCTTATACTTAGTTCCTCTAAATTTTGTATTTCAGGCTCCGATCTCGGTGGGTCTACTCGTATGCCAGCCTTCTACTGTGGGATGTTTGGATACCATCCCACTCCTGGAACCACGAATCTCAGAGGTAATTTCGATTAAACATATACGATTACGACCACTCGTACAACGAGGCAGTCTGCCGTGCGACTGCCGGGCAAGGGGACTCGGGTTCGATTCCCGGGTCGGGCAACGTATTACTGGGTTTTAAAAAATTCTCAGTAGTAGCACGGAGTCTGGAATTGTGCCCGGTATATGGCAATAGGCTCACCCCCTATTACATGGGATGATGGGACTCATAATATAAATAGTGAAAAGTGGGTGTTACATTGTAATGTGCACCTCTGCCTACCCCTTCGGGGATAAAAGGCGTGATGTTGTGTTGTGTGTGTTGTTGTTGTATACGATTGTTTTTCGAGGGTCTCTCATATGATCAGTTTTTGCAAATGATATATTAGCACATATGATAGCGAGCGAGCTGATTATCTTCTTAGATGCTTCCACTAAACAGCATTGAACTTCTATCCGCAGGTATAGTATTCAGGACGGGCGAGGACCAGGAGACCATGTTATCGCTGGGCTTCATATCAAAGCACGTTGAAGATCTAGGCCCACTCACCAAGATCATTGCTGGAGACAAGGCTCCACAGTTGAAACTAGACAGAGATGTCGACTTCAAGGTACATTTCATATTTCTATTAAGTGTTTGAATAGGATTCTACATATAAAATTGAGACAGATAATAAGATTAAGTTTGGCTTTAAGAATTTTAAGATTGGCTTAATTGAATTACCTACGAAATATGTCATGTTACAGGACATCAAATTCTACTACCTGGAGAGAAGCCAAGACATGTTTCTGAGCAGCGTTAGAGCAGATCTCAAAGGAGCTATGAAGAGGTAAGAAATATTTCCTCATCAAAGTCAAAGTCTTTGTGTCCGGAGTGATACCACGGCCTCACAGAAAACCGACGTGAAGCAACGCTTGCGTTCTGTTTCGTCGTGTGAGTGAGGTTACCGGAGGCCTAATTACCCTCTCCTTCCCCAATCTCCACAATTCCTGAATCCCTAACGATCCTCGAACTCCTAATCCCCAAAAGGCCGGTAACGCACTTGTAAGGCCTCTGGTGTTCCAGGTGTCAATGGGCGACGCCGATTACTTACCATCCGTCTGCTCGTTTACCGGCTTATGCCATAAAAAAGACATAATAAGAATGTTATTAGTTTATTCCTGTTTTGTGATACGTTAAAACGATTTTATTTACTTTAATATTATGTTTCTTCTCCAGTGTTCTAACTCGAATCAGCCAAGATTCAACCACAACGGAGAATGCACCGGAACCTTACTACCACAGAGGCTTCAACCACATGTACAGCATCTGGAAGTATTGGATGACCAAGGAACCTGAACATCTGCCCACCCTCTGCACCAATAACAAGGGAGAGGCTAACGGACTTATTGAATTGTTGAAAAAGGTAAGGTTCTCGACTTGATTGTGCTGTTAATGGATTTTTGGACGGAATGCTCATATAGCGGTCATCTTAAGTTATAATTCTGCTGATATCGTGCGTTGCTTTTAAGACCTTAGCAATTATTTCGGCCTTGACAGACAGTATCAATATCTTCTGTCCTAAAAAAATAAATCTTGAAGTAAAGTACTGGTGCACAATTTTTGTTTCATCTTCGTGCGCTCAATGTTTTGAAAAAGTGGTGGCACCATTGGAAATTCCTAAAGCGATTAGCGCCATAATTGAAAATGTGTATCATGTATGTGTAAAATCTTCTACAGGCGGTGTGCATGAGTCAGTACTGCCTCTTCACTATCGTGCGTCTGATTGAGGAGCAGTACTTGCCGAAGGTGGAACCTGAATGGGCAGAGAAGATCTCTAAGGAATTGAAAGAAGATTTATTCGTAAGTTGATGAAATATCTGGAATTTATGGAGCACATTGAATTGTTGACAGTTATGACAACATATCTATTGCCGATTCAATTCGGCTCAACACGTGTGATGTGAATAGACACGAACTTGGAAATGTCATAAAATTACACCCTCGCGAATCACGGCTTGTCGGTAGCCTAGTAGCACTATATATGTCCCGGAGAACCTGCCGGTTAACCGGGGCTCCGGCTCGAAGTGCAGGAGAAGGAACGGGGCGGTTTTTAGTCAGTAAGAGTTTGACACTCCCTCCCGCCTCACCCAGGCGGGAGCAGCAATTGGATGATTTTCCCCTCTTAAAAAAAAGTAGCACTATATAGTACACTATTATTTGTTTTCCATTATAGGACCATGCTTCGAGAAATTTAGTGATTGTTCTAACCATCTTTTTGTCCTGTTCCAGAGCAAGTTAGGCGACAACGGCGTCCTCTTAATGCCGAGCGCCCCGCAGCCAGCCCCCTACCACTACTCCTGCTTCCTGCGTCCCTATAACTTCGCGTACTGGGCCATCGTAAACGCTCTCAAATGTCCTGCTACACAGGTACGAAGTTGGAACTTTATGAATACCTACCTACATTTTTTCATCAAAAATCGGTGTAAATGTAATATTGCATTTTCCCCCAGGTACCTCTCGGTGTGAACGCCCAAGGTCTTCCTCTGGGTATCCAAGTGGTGGCGGCTCCATACAACGATGCCCTCTGCCTGGCCGCCGCCAAGTACCTCAGCAAGGAGTTCGGAGGTTCTATCAAAGCCTGCAAATATAAATCATAGATTATACTGTAGCGTTGTATGTTAATCGTATCGTATGCTTGTATGTGTGTTGGTTATTATTTTTTTTACTTATTTAAATTTAATTAAATAAATCATAATTTTTATTATTATAATTTGTTTGATTACCGTACGATGAGATTCAAGTGGTACTGTGGTAGATATGGTAGGGAATGCCCATGCCATTAAGACCATATAAATAATATGAGACTATGAGGTACCTATTTGTGTCTGCATTAAGGTCTTTGAATAATATAACATATAAATGTAAATAAACATATTAACATATGTTTTGAGACGCTCTAGAAAGTAGACATCTTTCATCCCCTATAATTATTATACTCTTTGCATCCTTCTACGTTTTAACATCAACATGTTGAATAATGTTAATGTTGTACCTACGTAATAAAAAATTACCTATTATAATTAGAAAACTTCTGGTGTTCGATCGACCGGAAAATTTTGTGATACACCTCGATATGGAATTTCTAATTAACAATAGAAGGCGTTAAAAATTAAAATTAGATAGGTAGGTATTTGAAAACATCTCGATGGAAAAAAACATTGAAAAACAGAAAGAAAATGCAACCAATAACGGGTTCGTTCTAAAATTCGTTAATTTTTAATTTGTTGAACAGAATCCTAGAAACAAACCGCACAAAAGTAAACAGTTCAAAGTAGGTATTTTAAAAATGCATGAAAAATATTGACTTCGGTCCATGAATCTTTATAGCATTAAAATAGAAGCAAGCATTGACAGAGGCAGAAATATACAGAATTTGCTAATTACTGAACGTAGCATTACGATGACCTTGCTTTGACATTGGTTTGACACTTATGACAATAGTTTTGTAATAACTTTGAGGAGCGATCTTCTGACCTTAAAAACTCCGATAATAAATGTTATTTAATTAGGACGGAGCGCCGAGGTTGCTCGTGTATTCGGACAGAACGTAATTTAATTCATAAAAAATGCCTAGTGTAGTAAATGTGGACACAAACCCGTTTGAGGGCCAGAAGCCGGGCACGAGTGGTTTGCGTAAAAAAGTTAAAGTTTTCCTTCAAGAACATTACACGGAAAACTTCGTGCAGAGTATTCTGGATGCGAATAAAGACTCTTTGGCTGGATCTACGCTGGTAGTCGGCGGAGACGGCCGATACCTTGTTAAGGAGGTTGTAGACAAAATTATCAAAATCTCAGCTGCCAATGGAGTAAGTATTACTAAAAACATTATGAATAAAACTTTTAACAGATTATAAAATGTCTATTAAGAACATTAGTCAAGTCTTATAAAAAAACACTGTCTGTTTACTGTAGTCACTAGTATCCTCTTTTTATATACATTTTCTAATATCTCTTTAATAACAAAACATCTATTTCTGTATCTGACATTAGCTTTAATAATAAGTATAATGTAACCAATATTATACCACTATTTTAAAAGTATTTTTAGTACCATAACTAAATGTCCAATTTAACTTTATTACTTGAGTATACAGAGCCATGATAATAATATGTTTATATTATAATATACTGTCATTAATACATGGCTGCCAGTAACATATTCTACATATTCTATCAAGATCATCCTGGAGGAACCGAGTTCTAGATAAAATTATTCACAAAATTACTTACATATATTCTGGAATTATTGTCATTCTAGAATTTTTTTTTTGCTTTCTTCTCAATACATTCTGGAATAAAATGCAGCTATACTATATTGGTGAAGCAATGTCTTTAAATATTCAATACATTGATTGCTACGTTTTTAATAGATTGCTCCCTTAAAAACTATTTAGAACATCAATTCATTATTTTACAATTTTTTTTTAACTGTTGATATAGTTCTAGTTAAGATAGATATGTTGATATTTTAAGATAACAAGCGAATAGTTTCATAAAATGACTGTGAGATAGACAACAAAATAATCATCATTGGATAGACTAGACTGTTCTACAATCTACAATACAAGAAAATATATGCCCATCTCAACTAAATGTAGATTAAGATAATAAAGTGTGAAAATATTACATCACACATTCATTAGATTACTATATTGATTGTATGATACACAATGTTATGATATAATTGTGTAATAACCAGATATTTAATAAATGTTGGAGTAGCATACTAATAATAATAATAATAAACGTCAATCTGGCAACACTACAAACGTCAACTTGTGAAAATTTTACTCTGCTTTTATATAAATAATTTATACATATTCCTTTCTGTTTTCGTTTCTTCTAATATTTATCAACAATAGAAAAACCTTTTTGTTTTATAATAATACGCCATAATTTTACAATACTG